AATATTGCGTTGCGTTGCGGTCAAAAATTGTTTCCCCCTTTCGGGTGGAACACACCTGTCCTCATCAACACCGCATGCTACCTAAATAGACAGCTGACAGATCATGTGACCCAAACCATTTAGAATACAGAAAATGCATAATCTGCTCCTACAATTACAATTATTAATCATTTACAGCTGCTGATTTCCTCTTACTAAGCAGTTTTAACAGATACAGTGTTTACACCTTTAAAACAGCTCAATTATATTTCATAAAACATTTAAAACTCGCAACTTTTAAGTTTTTATTCATTTTATTCTCTTGTTTTCATGAAAAGCTCTAAAATCTTTAGCCAACAGGATGCAGGAACCTCCGATGTCCCATTTTATTCAGAATAAGCTCCAGAGCCAATCATGTTCTCCCACAGCTTACCTGGCTGCTTTGCTCCGCCTCCTGAGCGAGGCAGAGAGCGCGGGATTGGTCGGCCCCGGAGACGTGGAGGTGATGGAGGAGGAGGAAGACGAGGAGGAGGAGCAGAGGCCTCCAGGGGACTTCCAGACCGCTGATGCTGCAGACTACGATGAGACGGGGCGGGGCATGAGCATGGGGCGCCCCGGCGCCCCCTGGTGGGACCTGGTGGAGCCGCAGCTGACTCAGGCGCTGCTGGACAGGTGAGTGAGTCAGAGCGGCTGTCTGAGGAAGAGGAGAGTGTAGACGTTAACGGGACGGGTGGATGTTTGTCAGGATGGATCCCCGGCTGGTCCAGAGTCTGCTGCAGAGAACCAGAGAGTCCGGACGGACCTCAGCCGCACCGAGCCGAGACCAGGACGCCCTCAGGTAGGACCACACACCTGACTGACGCTCAAAACTAAACTGGTGTCTAAAATCTGCAGTGGAGCAAACCAGTGTGACTGTGGGTACAGCGACTGCCAACAGTGTTTGGAGAACCTCAACCGTCATTGTACCAAACCTTCACAAGCTTGTAAGAATCAACAGAAGCACCGTTTACAAATTAGACACATTTCCTCTGGTTCACAGACAAACTGCAGGCGAAAGTCGTCACAAGTAACCCGTGATGGACTTCTCTCCATTGTCTGGGGGAATGTCTTAAAATCCAGAAGTTTTGGAAGGATGTCATTAGGCATCTATCTGATCTGTTTAAGGTGAAAGTCCCACTAGAGGTTAAGTTCTCTGTACNAACTTTATGTTATTAAAGGTAAAGTTTAAACAGTAATGCGAGGGAACGCAAAAGAAAAAAAATCCCCATGTCCCCTGGGGGGCTCCGTAGAGTTCAGAGGTCAAGAGTTACAGATTCTATTTTAACACCTCTAGATTTGATAGGAAACACTTTGTTTTAACACTGGATTTTAACTAATAATAATATACACCCCAGAGTTACAGAAACAGAATGCGACTCTATTAACTCTGCTTTTGCACAAAGTCTACTAACACCAAAACATTTAACACTTTTGAATTTGCTGTGTTCTGACATCATCTAACAATCAAAAATTAGCAGCAATAATTTGGTTTAATTAGCCTAAGAGAAAAAATTTGGTTCTTTTTTCTAAAAAGTAAATATTTAATTAGCAAGCTAAATATGTAGCTACAAACACAACATTGAATTAGCTCAGAGCTAAATCTGTAGTTGCAGCTGCACATAGTCAGGAAACATTTAGTTTGTTCACAAATATTTAGTTTGCCAACTACAAAATGTCTAACTAGCACCAAACTAAACATTTAGCTCTTAGCTAGCTGAATCTTTAGTAAGCGATGTGTTATTGTGTCAAACCTTCTTTTGTTCACTTTAAAACCTTAACATTTCTGGAATGTTTTTCAAACAAAAAGGATTCAAAACAATAATTTAAAAAATGTTTTTATTTCATTTCTGTAAAGGTTTATTTGTGAAATGTTGAAAAACAGATTTCTGTGATTTTCCTTCGCAGGCGGATGGTTGCTAAGATACTGTCTAGTGTCGGCCCTAACAACGCCCAGGTGATGATGTCATCAGGGCGCAGAGCAAAGAGGGACTTGTCCGCCATGGCCGAACCCGTTAGCCCCACCCACAGACGAACCCGCCGCTCCCTGGACGGCCAGTCGCCTAGCAACGAGCCGCCCCTCCTCAGAGTAAAGAGGCTGGACGACGAAGAGGAAGAGGAAGAAAAGCTCCGCCCACGAGGACCCGGGCTGCAAAGGATGAAACGCATCGATACCATGGCAACCGCTGACCTAGAGGAAGTAAACCACGGGAGTCGTAGGCGCCGCAGGAGAGCTGCGCTGAACTACGACCCCCAGATGTTGATGGATCAGATTCTGGATTACCTGAGGGAGTGAGAGGAGGAAGAGGAGGAGGAGGAAGATAGTTCGAGTCGTGTCTCACATTTTTATTGTTCGTATTGTTTCTTTGGTTTTGCTGCTTGTGTAATCTGAGCGGATCAAATGTTTGTTGTATAAACCAGGAGAAATCAGGAAGAATTTTCAAGAAGAACCAAACTTCTGATCTAACATGTCTCAACACTACATTACCCATGAGCCTCGGCTGGTACGCAGTGATGATGCGTTCTATTTGCACTCGGATTCCATGAGTTTCTAGGCGGAAAAACAACGAGAGTAGTTGACAGGTTCCCTCTGTTAGG